ACTGGTTTCAAGAAGCACTGTCTGATGTGAACCATCCTTGCAGAAAAGAGCTCTCAGAAGACCTACGATCAAGAATTGTTGACTTGCATGTGGAAAGGGTTACAAAAGTATCTCCAAAGGCCTTGATGTTCATGTGTCCACGGTAGGACAGACTGTCTACAAAATGGAGAAAGTTTAGCACTGTTGCTATTCTCCCTAGGCAGGGTCGTCCTGTAAAAATTACTGCAAGAGCACAGCACAGAATGCTGCATGAGGTAAAGAAGAATCCCAGAGTGTCAGCTAAAGACCTACAGAAATCTCTGGCACATGCTAACATTTTTGTTGACTGCATCTACAATAAGGAAAACATTAAACAAGAATGGAGTACATGGGAGGACACCACGGAGGAAGCCATTTGCTGTCCTAAAAGAATATTGCAGCACGTTTGAAGTTTGCAAAAGAGCAGTATGCTGATGTTCCACAGCACTACTGGCAAAATATATACTGTGGACAGATGAAACCAAGATTGAGTTGTTTGGGAAGAACACACAAACACTATGTGTGGAGAAAAAAAGGCACAGCACCACCAACATCAAAAACCTCATCCCCACTGTAAAACATGGTGGAGGGAGCATCATGGTTTGGGGCTGCTTTGCTGCCTCAGGGCCTAGAACGGATTGTTGTCATTGATGGGAAAATGAATTCCAGAGTTTATCAAGACATTTTTGCAGGAAAAACGTATGACCATCTGTTGAAGCTCCACAGAGGATGGGTGATGTGCAACAGGACAGTGACCCAAAGCATACAAGTAATTCAACAAAACAATGGCTGCAACAGCACAGAATACGCCTTCTGGAGTGGCCCAGTCAGAGTCCTGACCTCAAATCCGATTGAAATGCTGTGGCATGACCTTAAGAGAGCTTCACACCAGACATCCCAAGATATTGCTACACTGAAACAGTTTTTGTGAAGAGGAGTGGTCCAAAATGACTCCAGATCGTTGTGCAGGTCTGATCTGCAACTACAGGAAACGTTTGGTTGAGGTTATTGCTGCAAAGGAGGGTCAACCAGTTATTAAGTCAAAGGTTCACATACTTTTTCCTCCCTGCACTGTGAATGTTTACATGTTATGTGCAATTAAACCATGGGCAACATCTAATGTTTGTGTAGTACAGCAGACTGTGTTCTTCTATTTACTTAGATGACGTTCAGAGCACATTTTATGCCCAATGCATGCAAAACTCCACGTAATCCCAAGGGGTTCACATACTTTTTATCTTGCAACTGTAGTTTAAAATGTTTTTACCGCCCCCTTTAGCTGCAGTGGCCAGGGATGTACACATGTCACAGCTGCTGTAGGAGTTATATGCTTTGTCATAGTTGGTGGGTGTAGCACCTGCCAAGCATGACCCATTCAAGTGAGTGAGGCCGCTCTGCAAGTGCTCTGCAACCTTGTGCAGTAAAGCAAACAAGGGGGTAAAACAAACAGCGTTGTGTTGCTTTCTCATCACCTGCTTTAACCCTTGGACCCCGCAGAAGCATGCAGTTGTGGGGCACTTGCAGAATGGCCTCATTGAATGGGTCATGATTGGCAGGCGGTAGCAGCCACCAAATGCAACAGGGGGGTTTAATTCCTGCTGCTGCATGTATTCACCTTTTTGGCTGCTGCTTAAGATAAAAACCACAACTCCGCTGAAGGGCTTTACCATCCCTCAACGTTGTGTGAATGAGCCCTAAGGGTGCTGCTGCCAAATGCAACTAGGGGCTCATTCACAAGGTTGTGAGGAGGCGATCTGTTTCCTCCTCATCACCCGATTTTTAAAGCCACGATTGCTGTGCAATACACACGATTGTGACACGGTAGTACGACAATTAGAGGTATAAATCGGGTGTGAAGAGACGACACGATGCCCGATGTTTGACTTCTCCCATGTTGTTCAGGTAGATCTCCACCTCTTTAAGGTTGCCCCTGCTTTATGTGAAACCTACTACAAGCAAGAGGATCCATCTTGTACTGTCAGGGTAGGACCATCAGAAGCCGCACTCTTCCTCAAAAAGTCTGCACTCTCAGATGTTGTCCTTGGAAAGATTTAGGACCTGGCTGGTCCACAGGTAAAGGGTCACTTAGACAAACAGAGCTTTTTTTGTTGCTGTACAGTTAGTGGCCCCTGCGTAAAGAGGACATAAAGTTAACCTAGCTAGCCTGAATATATCAGTGCCACCTCCCAAATTTAATGATACCATCAGTCTCCTTTTGATCACGCCACCTCCTGTTTGAAGGTCTTTGGTCTGTTCGGTCGGTGGAAACTAAAAGCTGCCTTGGTGATTCTAAAGTGGGGACACTATTGCTGCCTCTTGCTGGTAGGGCCACAGACTTGATTTGGAGTTTGGATGGAAGGATTTCCGAATCCTTTTTACTGATAAAGCATGTTTGATCTCCCTGTTGAGACGATACCCAACCAGTAAGAGACTTGGATGTGGGGAGCACTGTTGCATGTTGGAGCACTGTTTCGCCTGTTAGTCCACACCAAGCACTACAAAGCACTTAGATTTATGTAAAAAATTATTTTTTTTTTCTATTAATAAACAGATGTGTAGCATTTGCCAAAAAGAATCCTTTACTGGGCCAATGTCACAAAAAAGCCCAGAGAGGTGGGTCAAGGTGCTTTCGGCATCTTGTAACCGGGATTTTTTTGTGTGGCATCGGCGCAGTAAAGGCTTCTTTCTGCCAACTCAGCCATACTGCTCATTTTTGTTCAGGTATCATTGTATTGTGTTCCTTAAAAAAAAACACACTCTTTTTCCAGAGCAGCAGCCTGTATATCTCCTAAGGTTACTTATGGGTTTTTTTTTTTTTTAAATGTTTTTAATTATTATTTTTTTTTTTTTTTTTTTGTATCCCGAACAATTCTTCTGGTAGTTGTGGCTGCAATCTTTCTTGGTCTACCTGACCTTGGCTTGGGATCAAGAGATCCCTGAATTTTCTACTTCTTAAGTGATTGAACAGTACTGACTGCCATATTCAAGGCTTTGGATACCTTTTTATATCCTTTTCTATCCTTATAAAGTTCCATTACCTTGTTACGCAGGTCTTTTGGCAGTTCTTTTCTGTTCCCCATGGCTCAGTATCTAGCCTGCTCAGTGCATCTACGTGAGATCTAACAAACTCATTGACTATACACAGACACTAATTGGAATTTAAAAAGCCACAGATATAGGAAATTATCCTTTAATTACCATTTTAACCTGTGCGTGTCTGTGCCAAGGTCAAACATTCCAAGGTATGTAAACTTTTGATTAGGGCCATTTGGGTGATTTCTATTATCGTGATTGAAAAAGGAGCCAAACAACTATGTGATGATAAATGGCTTCATATGATCACTAGCATAGCCTAGCTTGGGAGCAAGCCCGCACGAGTGCCCCCATAGCAAGCTGCTTGCTATGGGGGCACTTGGAAGGGGGGAGGAACCAAGGGTGCCGGCAGGTGACCCCAGAAGATGAGGATCGGGACTGCTATGAGCAAAACCGTTACACAGAGCAGGTAAGTATGATATATTTATTATTAAAAAAAAAAATATAGTATCTTTTACAATCACTCTTCAAGCGGAGTTCCGGCTGAAAAAAAAAAAGTCAGCATCTACAAAAACTGTAGTTGCTGACTTTTAAAATACAGCCACTTACCTATCCCTTGTTCCAGCGGTGTCCTCACCACCGCTGGTTTCACCAGCTGTCTTCTCTCCCTGGCGCTGGCATCTTTAGTGTGGGCACCCAGCTGTGACAGCTTGCAGCTTCACAGCCAGGTGCCCACTGCGCATGTGCGAGAAGTGCTGTGCTTTGTAAATGGCCCCGTAGCCTTCTGGGACCTGTCGCATGTCCAAAAAGACTACGGAGAGGGGGAGGACCACTTCCTAGGCATTAAAGCGGAACTTCCTCTTTTGGGTCGAGCTCCCTATATATTTATTGCTTTTGTGTGTAAAAAAAAAACTCCACAAAATAAACTTATACTTGGATAAGATACAGGAGAAGCGTAGGAGACCCTGAGATAATGATAATCAAAATAATAGGTAAGAGGCCAAAAAAAACATGATCTCAAAGTTGATCACGCAGTGTCATATAAAACTATGAAGTCTTAATTGTAGGTAGCTTCGCAGGGTTTCAACAAGCTGCACACAGACGTCGTACAACAGGGCCAATAGTGCACCATCAAAAACAAAAAGCAAAACCTTATAAAACAACCCAAAGAAAGGCCTCTTCCTTCCCATTTCATTTCCAAGCTAAGCTGCAGCTCCCGGGTGAACCAAAAGGGACTATTGGTAATCAATCAAAATCAGACCAGAACATTCCTATGGTTTGAACAGGATAAACATTCAGGATCCTGAAGCTATAGGGTAAAAGTATAAAGGGCATATCAAATCCTTATGGCAAAAGCATCTTGGCTCAGTAACGGGCAATGTTTCACCAGGGAAATCTAAAATAAGTGGAGGTTTCTAGGGGCCATAAGACTGAAGTAATAAGGAATAGTATTATTATTAGTGGGCAGGAGATGCTAAAAAGAGGCTTAGGCATTGGTGGTGGGGCTGGCCAGAGCTGCCAAAAATTGTTCCTTTTTTTGGGGGGACATCCTCGGCTTCAATACATGGCCTTATAATATGGCATCTTTTGGTTAACTAGACCTTTCCAGTAGGGTAAGGTGTCAGTGCCAGAGGTTCTTTCCAGTGAAGAATGATCGCTTTACGGGCATAAAACAAGAGGGTACTCAAAATGGTTCATTGTGCTCTAGTCTGAGCCTCTCCCTCCACCAGACCCAGAAGACACACCAATACCATCATGGGAATGGCCATCACTTGTGTCAGACAAGTGAGGACCTCTGTCCAAAACATTTGAGCCACTGGGCAATACCAGAAAATATTACCAAAGGCCATCGGAGAATGTGAGCAGCTGTGAAATTTTCTACATTTTGTCATGTTACAACCAAAAACGTAAATGTACCGTATTTTTCGCTCCATAAGACGCACCTGACCATAAGACGCACCTAGGTTTTAGAGGTGAAAAACAAGAAAAAAAAAATGAACCAATGGACTGCAGACATAGTACAGGGGATGACCAGAGACTGCGGACACAGTACAGGAGATGACCAGAGACTGCGGACACAGTACAGGAGATGACCAGAGACTGCGGACACAGTACAGGAGATGACCAGAGACTGCGGACACAGTGCAGGGGATAAGCGGAGACTGCGGACACAGTGCAGGGGATGAGCGGAGACTGCGGACACAGTGCAGGGGATGAGCGGAGACTGCGGACACAGTGCAGGGGATGAGCGGAGACTGCGGACACAGTGCAGGGGATGAGCGGAGACTGCGGACACAGTGCAGGGGATGAGCGGAGACTGCGGACACAGTGCAGGGGATGAGCGGAGACGACTGCGGGACACAGTGCAGGGGGGATGAGCGGAGACTGCGGACACAGTGCAGGGGATGAGCGGAGACTGCGGACACAGTGCAGGGGATGAGCGGAGACTGCGGACACAGTGCAGGGGATGAGCGGAGACTGCGGACACAGTGCAGGGGATGAGCGGAGACTGCGGACACAGTGCAGGGGATGAGCGGAGACTGCGGACACAGTGCAGGGGATGAGCGGAGACTGCGGACACAGTGCAGGGGGATGATGAGCGGAGACTGCGGACACAGTGCAGGGGATGAGCGGAGACTGCCGACAGTGCAGGGAATAACCAGAGACTGCTGACCTTTGGGGAGGGAGGGGGAGCGGATACCTGAATTTGACAGGTACCCGCTCCCACTTCCGCGGAGTTGTCCTTCCCTCTTCTTCCCAGGCCGGCTTCTGTGACAGCCGGGTGCCCACTGCGCAGTGCGAGAAGCGCTGCGCTTTGTGAATGGCCCAGCGCCTTCTGGGACCTGTCATGTGTCCCAGAAGATACCGGATCATTCACAAAGCACAGCACATGCGCAGTGGGCACCCCCGGCTGTCACAGAAGCAGCGCGGGAAGACTGTGCAGCGCTGGAGCGAGGAACAGGTAAGGCCCTGCAGGAGAGAACAACAGCTGAGCGGCCGGCCCGGTATTCTGACATGGTGGCCACAAAAATACCAGACCGGCCGCTTTATATTCGCTCCATAAGACGCACTGACATTTTTCCTCCCTTTTTTGGGGGGAAAAAAGTGCGTCTTATGGAGCGAAAAATACGGTATTTTATTGGGATTTTTTTGTGATCGACCAACACAAAGTGGCAGATAATTGTGAAGTGGAAGAAAAATGATAAATGTTTTTTCAAAAAAATTTTTTTACACATAAATATCTAAAGTGTGGTGTGCATTTTGTATTCAGCCCCCTTTAGTCTGATACCCCTAACTAAAATCTAGTGGAACCAATTGCCTTCAGAAGTCACCTAATTAGTAAATAGTCCACCTATGTGTAATTTAATCTCAGTATAAATACAGCTGTTCTGTGAAGCCTTTTAGACATTTGTTAGAGAACATTAGTGAACAAACACCATCATGAAGGCCAAAGAACACACTAGACAGGTCAGGGATAACGTTGTGGAGTTTGAACTGTTCATTATCCAAAAATGAAAAGAGTATGGCACACATGCAAACCTACCAAGACATGGCCATCCACCTAAACTGACAGGCTGGGCAAGGAGAGCAGTAATCAGAGAAGCAGCCGAGAGGCCCATGGTAACTCTGCAGGAGATGCAGAGATCCACAGCTCAGGTGGGAGAATCTGTCCACAGGACAACTGTTAGTCATACACTTCACAAATCTGGCCTTTATGGAAGAGTGGCAAGAGGAAAGCCATTGTAGAAAAAGCCAAAAGAAGTCCTGTTTGCAGTTTGCGAAAAGGCATGTGGGGGACACAGCAAACATGGAAGAAGGTGCTCTGGTCAGATGAGACCAAAATTGAACTTTTTGGCCTAAAAGCAAATTGCTGTGTGGCAGAAAACTAACTCCACACATCACCCTGAACAGAACACATCATCCCCACTGTAAAACATGGTGGGGATGCTTTTCTTCAGCAGGGACAGAGAAGCTGGTTAGAGTCTGCAGAAGACTTGAGACTGGGGCAGAGGTTCATCTTCCAGCAGGACCCTAAAAATACAGCCAGAGCTACAATGAAATGATTCAGATCAGTGGTCTCCAAACTGCGGCCCATTGGCCCTTTGCCTTTATCTGGCCCTTGGGGCACTGTTCCTCCCACTGATATGAGGCACCATTCCTTCTGCTAACACCAACATTGGGACATAATTTCTCTCACTGATATAAACTACAGAACACTATTACGTCCACAAACACTAAAGATGGTGCACTTTTCCTCCCACTGGTACCATCAGTGGGGTACTATTCCTGCCACTGACCTCAACAATGGGGCATAATTCCATCCACTGATATAAAATATAGAGCACTATTACTCCCGCTAACACTAAAGATGGGGCACTATTCCTGCCACTGACACCAATGTTGGGGCACCAGTCCTTCCTTTAACACCAATGTTGGAGCCTGGTCCTTCCACTGACACCAGTATTGGGGAAAATTTACTTTCATTGATACCATTGTTTGGGAACCATTCCATCCACTGACACCAATGTTGAGGCACTATTCCTCTCACTGATACCAATAATAGGGCGCTATTCCTTCTGACACCAATGATTGGGCACTATTTCTGATGCATTTTCCACTCCCACTGGTTACAGTCTGACCCCCCCCCCCCCCCCCCCCCCCCCCCCCCAGGTCAGAAGACCAGAAAATTGGCCCTTTGTTCAGAAAGTTTTGAGACCCCCCTGGTTTAAATCAAATCATATTCATGTGTTAGAATGCTCCAGACCTAAATCCAATTGAGAATCTGTAGCAAGTCTTGAAAGTTGCTGTTCAGACGCTTCCCCATCCAATCTGATCGCTTCAATAGCAGCAAAAGGTGGTTTTACAAAGTACTGACTCGGGGAGGGGCTGGATACAAATGCATGCCACAAATGTTGCAAACCATTTATCATTTTCCTTCCACTTCACAATTATGTGCCACACTGTGTTGGTCTATCACATAAAATCCCAATAAAATACATTTTATGTTTTTGGTTGTAACATGATAAAATGTATAACATTTTAAGGGGTGTGAATACTTTTTCAAGGCACTGTATTGGGTCGATGACGTCGCAAGGGCATAGGGTCACTAGGTGGCTGTGGCTCTGCACTTATCTAAGAGCAATCAGACGGTGAGAGAGTTTGTCAAGAGCTGAACTCTTCCTTTTTATTTTTATTTTTTTTCCTCGGTTCAGTGGTGTTCAGGATTTGAAATTGGATCTACTTCGGGGGACAATTTTTTTTTCTTTACTTTTTTAATAAAGGACTTGTCAAAAAGTGTCTTTCATTTTTAATTTTTTTTTTTTTTTTGGTGAATGAGTATGGGAACTAGAGTGGATATAAAAAGTCTACACACCCTGTTAAAATGTTAGGTTTCTGTGATGTAAAAAAAAAATGAGACAAAGAGAAATCATTTCAGAACTTTTTCCACATTTTTAATGTAAACTGGACAACTCAGGTTGAACCACAAACTAAAATCTTTTAGGTGGGGGGGGGAAGTAAAAATAAATAATATGGTTACATAAGTGTGCACACCCTTAATTTTAGTACTTTGTTGAAGCATTTTTTGATTTTATTACAGCACTCAGTCTTTTTTGGGTATGAGTCTGAGTCTGTCAGCATGGCACATCTTGACTTGGCAATATTTGCCCACTCTTCCTTGTAAAGCACTCCAAATCTGTCAGATCACAAGGGTATCTCCTGTGCACAGCTCTCTTCAGATCACCCCACAGATTTTCGGATTCCGGTCTGGGCTCTGGCGGGCCATTCCAAAACTTTAAAACTTTAATCCTCTTCTGATGAAGCCATTCCTTTGTTGATTTGGATGTATGCTTTGGGTCGTCATGCTGAAAGATGAAGTTCCTCTTCATGTTCAGCTTTCTAGCAGAAGCCTGAAGGTTTTGTGCCAATATTGACTGGTATTTGGAACTGTTCATAATTCCCTCTACCTTGACTAAGGCCCCAGTTCCAGCTGAAGAAAAACAGCCCCAAAGCATGATGTTGCCACCACCATGCTTCACTGTGGGTATGATGTTCTTTTGGTAATGTGCAGTGTTGTTTTTTGCGCCAAACACATGTCTTGGAATTATGGCCAAAAGGTTCAACCTTGGTTTCATCAGACCATTATACATTTTCCCACATGCTTTTGGGAGACTTCAGGTGTGTTTTTGCAAAATTTAGCCAGGTTTGGATGTTTTCCTTCATAAGAAAAGGCTTATTGCCACTCTACCCCATAGCCCAGACATATGAAGAATACAGGAGATTGTTGTCACATGTACCACACAGCCAGTACTTGCCAGATATTCCTGCAGCTCCTTTAATGTTGCTGTAGGCCTCTTTGCAGCCCTCCCAGACCAATTTGCTTATCGTCTTTTCATCAATTTTGTAGGGACGTCCAGTTCTTGGTAATATCACTATTGCACCATGTTCTCTCCACTTGATGATTGTCTTCACTTTGTTCTGTGGTGTATCTAATCATTGGAAATTCTTTTGTACCCTTCTGACTGATACCTTTAACAGTGAGATCACTCTGATGCTTTGGAAGCTCTCTGCTGACCATGGCTTTTACTGTAGGATGCGACTAAGAAAATGTCAGGAAAGACCTACTAGAACAGCCGAACTTCATCTGGGGTTAATCAGAGGTACTTTAAATGATGGCAAGTGTGAACTGACTCCTATTTAACTAGACTTTTTATATCAATATATATGTGTGTGTGTGTGTGTGTGTGTGTATGTGATTGTATAATATGTGTATTAATTATATGTGTGTGTGTGTGTGTGTGTGTGTGTGTATATATATATAAAATGTTATGTATATGTGTATACAGTTTAGGTCCATGAATATTGGGACATCGACACAATTCTAACATTTTTGGCTCTATACACCACCACAATGGATTTGAAATGAAACGAACAAGATGTGCTTTGACTGCAGACTGTCATATGTGCCTCCCATTTGTTAAGGGGTACCAAAAGTAATGGGTGTGTACAGAATAATAATCATAAATCAAACTTTCACTTTTTAATACTTGTGTTTGCAAATCCTTTGCAGTCAATTACAGCCTGAAGTCTGGAACACATAGACATCACCAGACGCTGGGTTTTATCCGGGTCTTTTTATGTGTTGCTGAGCTCACCGGTACGTTCCTACTTTTTTAAGAATGTTCCAAACAGTTGTTTTGGCCACACCTAATGTTTTTGCTATCTCTATGATGGGTTTGTTTTTGTTTTTATTCAGCCAAATGATGGTTTGCTTCACTGATAGTGACAGCTCTTTGGATCTCATCTTGAGAGAGGGTTGACAGCAACAGATTCCAAATGCAAATAGCACACTTGAAATGAAACTCTGGACCTTTTATCTGCTCATATGTAAATTGGGATAATGAGGGAATAACACACACCTGGCCATGGAACAGCTGAGAAGCCAATTGGTCCCATTACTTTTGGTCCCTTAACAAGTGGGAGGCACATATGCAAACTATTGTAAGTCCTACAAACCGTTCACCTGATTTGGATGTAAATACCCTCAAATTAAAGCTGACAGCCTGCAGTTAAAAGCACATCTCGTTCGTTTTTCATTTCAAAATCCATTGTGGTGGTGTAATAGAGCCAAAAATGGATTCGTGTCGATGTCCCAATATTTATGGTCCACTCTGTGAGTGGGTGTGTGGTGTTGTGTGTGTGTGTGTGGGGAGTGTGTATGTGTGTGTGTATATATATATAGCCTAATATAAATAAAAATATATATGTTTATAGTGTGTAATTGTGTGTGTGTATTATGTGTATTATAATATATATTTGTGTGTATATGGTGTGTATATAAATATAGTGTGTATGTGTAATATATATATGAATGTGTGTATATATATATATATGGTGATGTAAGTTGTTATGTGTGTGTATGGTATATATATATATGTGTGTATGTGGTAGTGTTATGTGTGTGTATGTATGTGTATTAGTTTATAATTGTGTATGTATATATATATGTATATATAATACTATATGTGTATGTATGTGAATATATATATATATAATGTCGCGGTAGTATTGTATATATATTTTAATATATATATATGTGTTAAGGTATGTGTATGTTGTGGATATTTAATATATTATTGTGTGTATGTTATTTTATATTTATTTTGTATTATTGTGTTTATTTATATATTTTTTTTTTTTTTGTTTTTTTATATTTTATATATTTATATTATATATTAAGTTGTTTTATGTATGTGTATATATTTTTATATTATGTTTTTTATTTTATATATTTTTATTTTATTATTTTTTATATAGTTTTATGGTTTGTGTTATATATATATATAACTATGTGTGTAGTTTATATATATAAACTATAATATATATGTGAGTATGGTATGGTTCATAATATAAACATAGTTGTATGATATGTTATAGAGTTTGTATGTGTATGTGATACACTAACTGGCCCCTTTATGATGGTGCATTAGCAGTATGCAGATGCACCAAGTCAATTTTCCCAGTGTCCCTTAGAAATCCCGCTTGATAATTTGCTGATTGCTGCTATTACTAGTTAAAAAGAAAAAATCCTTGTATATACCACCATTTTTATAAACGCTATAAAACGCTATACTTTTTCACGTAAACCAATTAATTTACACGTATTGGGGCTTATTTTTTTTTACAAAGACATATAGCAGAATACATTTTGGCCTAAATTTATGATGAAATGTGATTTAAAAAAAAATAAAAATATATTTACTGGACATGTTTAATAGTCAAAAATACATTTTTTTTTTCCTAAAAAATTGTCTTTTTACTTTTTTCATTGGCGCAAAAAATAAACGCACAGGCGATCAAATACTCTGAAAGAAAGCTCCATTTGTGGGGGAAAGGATGTAAATTTCATTTGGTGTATATGCAGTGTTGCATGATCGCGCAATTGTTCAGTTAAAGTAATGAAGCGCCGTAACGCAAAAAAATGGCCCACATCAGGAAGGGGGGTAAATCCACAGGAGGGCAAGTGGTTAAAGGGTCACATTCTCCTGGCGCGTTACTAGGAAACATATCATGGGACAAGTGGCAATTACATCTAAAGCTTTATAAATGTGCTTTCTCTTTTTTTTTTTTTTTTTCTCCCCAAGCAGCATTATGTCTGCTCTAAGGCATACCACTGCTTTATAGTATTATACCTTTAGTGTTTGGCTGATGTTTGCAGGTAAGGTTATGCTTCCTGGGAATAGTTTGGTTGAACATATATCTCCTAGATTGTAAGCTCCAAGGAGCAGGGCCCTCCTATCCCTCTTGTATTGAACTGTATTGTTGCTGTATTGTCTCCTTTTATATTGTAAAGCGCTGAGCAAACTGTTGGCGCTATATAAATCCTGTATAATGATGATAATAATAATCATGGCTTGGTATGCTATAATTTTATGGGGTTTTTATTTTCTCCTCTCCTTTACTTTCCTTCTCTTTCCAGTCGAGCAAAGGATGTCATCATGCCAGCAAGACCACCTGGTCTGCACTTTTTCTCCACTAAGTCATCAGTGGTGGATCTCTTCCTTGGTCAGCTTGACTATGCTGAGTATCTTCGCCGGGAATCGGAGATAACCTTGTATTTCCTGTATGCTCCATGGTGCGCACAGTCTATTACTGCAAGGGCAGAAATTGAGCAAGTGGCTAGTAGGCTTGCAGACCAGGTAATCTCACCAGTGAATTGGGTGTGTATGCATGAATTGTTTTTTAGGGAAGTCAAGTGATTAAATTTGAGGATTACAGGCCTGTATTATATATATGTCTAATACTGTCCAATCTGATGAGTAAAATTTGATACATTTTGTTGGGCACTCACTTATTTTTTTGAGGATGTGCTCAGCTGACACAAACGCAAAAGGAACACAAAAAGCTCTATATACCAATACTCATGCCATCTGGAGAGTATGGGTTGGGGCTGCTTCACTGTGCAACATTTTATCACAATAAAAATACACTAAAAATTGTATCATTACATTTCAGAAATTGAACTTGGGTAATTCAAAAGCGCATGACCTGAAACTTGAGATTGCTCAAAAAAACATATTATTTTTTTAATTGGGGAAGGGCCAAGATATTGTCCAGATTATCCATTCATCTGAAACGATGTGCCATAAACAAGGAATCTAAAATATCAATTAACTGAAACAATTTTGCAAGGAGAAATAGTTTAGACATTCACCTGACATTTCCGTGAGTCTACCCAGCAGCTTTTGGAAGTTCCAGATGGAGGTGATTGCTGCTAAGGATGGGAGTAGGCAGGGATGTTGCTAAATACAAAGGTTGGTTCACATACTTTTTCCAGAATAGATTATGAAATGGTAAGATTGAAATGAATAAAACACAAAAGATAAACATTGTTTTTATCTTGTTAGATTTAAACAGTTTTGTGTTTTAAATAGACTGTTTGAAGATCATAAGATTAGGAGGTATTCATGCACTAATCCTGTTAATTTCAAAGTGTTCACACTTTTTTTTTATATTTTGCTGAAGCTACCATGTGTGAAGTGTTGTATTTTGATTCCCTCAGGTCCTGTTTGTGGCTGTCAATGCTGGTGGCACCAGGGCAAGTGTAGGAAACAAAAAAGCTTCTTCTATTTCCCTGTAATCCACCTGTTCCATAAAAGGTAAGTACACGACCCCAGGGACATTTCTACCTGAAACTATAAAATGGTTTAATCATGGGTTAAGCTGTTCGTTTTCTGGGTCATCTCTCACTTTGAATTCCTATCCTGAAGTTTTTAATAATGTCCTCAAGATCTTTCTAAGGTATTTTAAACCCTTGTCTACACTGCCCCCCTGTGCTTTTGCTAAAGTGCAGCTAACCTGCTGTTTTCGTGCGGGTTAGCTGCTGTTTCCCATAGACTTTTATGTGGTCCTCTGGTTTTGGTGCGCAGCAAAACTTCTGCATGCCGCACTTTTGGTGTGTTTTTTTTTTTGTTTTTTTTTTAAATCGCAGCACCTCTTTTGAAACATTACATTATCTATAGGAGGCAAGTCTATTGCAAAGGTACAACCATGCTGCAAACCGCTGTGTTTTTTTTTTTTCTCTTTTCTTTTATTAGTCAAGATCCCTACAGCCCCTTGGACTAACTCTCTCCAAACACCCACTATGGAATAATCCCACACTGAATTAATTGCTTACAGTTCCTGGCCCACAAAAGTGGTCTGCATGACTAATTGGATATCTTTGCCATTTGTATAAGGGTCCATGCATGCGGTTTTGCCTGTAAAAGCAGCTCAGTGTTATCCTATGTGTCAATGCACATTTGAACATTTTAGAGCATATTTTAGGCCCATAGTTTGGAAGCAGAAAAACCCCTTCTGTTTTGCTTTTCAGAAGTTTTCTTGCAGAAATAACTGCCAAATGCCCCTAAACACTAGTACAAAAAAAATTTTCAGAATGGGACACAAAAGCAAACATTTTGTTATATTGCAGCTTACCTATTCTTAGATGTGATGGGTGCATTAGGATTTCTTATATTCATCTGGTGATCTGGCAAGTAAGTCTGTTGCTTTTCACAAGAACAAGCTCTCTTCCAGATACATCGCTTTGCAGGGATGAGATAAACAATTTACCACTGACAGGTTTGCTTACAATGATCAGCTTTTATTTATTCATGTGAAACCTTTTATTCCAAAAGGTAAAAAACTGTTTGCTGTAACTGACTATAAAGTGTCAGCTGGTGTTTGGCTTCAGTCAGTGTATTTAAATCTGCTAGTACATTTAACACTCTCCTGCCCTCGGACTGACAATGCTGCTGTCCAGATGCACCCCCTGTGCCCATTCATCCAGAGTTGGGGGGGGGGGGGGGGTGGAGGCACTCTAATACAGGGGGGGGTGTTTTACTGGTCAGATCACTAGGTGAAAACCGAGGAAGGGGGGGGGGGGGGGGGGGACTGACGCAGCCACCACACTTAATGTTTGGTAAGCTGCAATTTAATTTTGGTTAAAAAAAAAAAAAGTGTGTGTGTGTATATAAAATTAAAAGGAACATTTTTTTTTTTAAGGAACATTTTTGAAAACGCATCAGATCTCAATGGGGAAAAATATCATGCTGGATATCTATACTGATATGGACAGGGTAGTGTGTTGGGAATGTAAGGATGCCCCATCATTTGATGGACATGAAAATTAGCAACCTACAGAGGACTGAATTCAAATACACCCCGAAAATCAAAGTGAACAAACTATTGTAAAGCACTGAGCAAATTGTTGGCGCTTTATAAATCCTGTATAATAATAACAAACGATGCCACAGGCTAGTCCATTTTGCTGAAATTTGATTGCAGCAACTCAAAATGGTACTCAGTATTTTGTATGACCCCCACGTTCTTGTATGTATGCCTGACAACATCGTGGCATGCTCCTAATGAGATGACGGATGGTGTCCTGGGGTATTTCCTCCCAGATCTGGACAGGGCATCACTGAGCTCCTGGACAGTCTGAGGTGCAACCTGGTGGCGTTGGATGGACCGAAACATGATGTCCCAGAGGTGTTCTATTGGATTTAGGTCAGGTGAGCATGGGGGCCAATCATCCTCCAGGAACTGCCTGCATACTCTCGCCACATGATGGTGGGCATTGTGCATCAGGAGGAACCCAGGACCCACTGCACCAGTGTTGGGGTCTGACAATGGGTCCAAGGATTTCATCCTGATACCTAATGGCAGTCAGGGTGCCGTTGTCTATCCTGTAGAGGTCTGTGCGTCCCTCCATTAATATGCCTCCCCAGACCATCACTGACCCATCATTTTGTAGAGCTCTGGCAGTGCTCAGCCTGTTTCTTCTTGCACAAAGGAGCATATGCCAGTCCTGCTGATGGGTTAAAGACCCTCTACGGCCCTGTCCAGCTCTGCTAGAGTAACTGACTGTCCCCTGGAATTCCCTCTATGCTCTTGAGACTGTGCTGGGAGACACAGTAAACCTTCTGGCAATGGCACGTATTGATGCACCATTCTGGAGGAGTTGGACTGCCTGTGCAACCTCTCTAGGGCTCAGGTATCGCCTCATGCTACCAGTAGTGACATGAACCGTAGCCAAATGCAAAACTAGTGAAAAACCGAAAAGATGAGTAGGGAACAAAATGTCAGTGGCCTCCCCCTGTGAAACCATTCCTGTTTTGGGTGTCGTCTCATTGTTTCCCATCTAGTGCAACTGTTAATTTAACACCAAAGCAGCTGAAACTGATTACCAACCCCCTCTGTTACTTAACTGCCCAGATCAATATCTCAGGAGTTTAATTGACTTGATGCTATACTCTGATAAAAAAGTGTTCCTTTAATTTTTTGAGGTGTGTATAATATGGTGTATATATACTGTAAATATGCATACAACCTATACAAAATGCCACACAAGCACTATTATAATTTAATGTTCTTAAATATTACATTCCTTTTTTTTTTTTTTCCTGAATCGCAGTCATTTTCTGTAAAATTCAATGCAATATGGCAACCTGGAGGAATTCTATACACAGCTGGTGTACAGAACGTCTAATATACAAGTCAAAATTTAGGCATCCTCCTTAAATAAGAATTATATTTTTGGTGAGATACTCCCTAAGGGTTAATTACATCTAAAGGGATTCAGACTCTGCAACTTTCCTCATAAGAACATGGCAAGTGCATCAGTTGATTATACTGAACACAGACACTCTAATTTAGGAATCCGTAAGGACTGTTTGCTAAAATCCTTGTAATGTGCAATGTAATGACCAAGAGGGGATTGTTTTGTTTTTGTTTTTTTTTCTCAACAAAAGTGGAGCTTTTCTTTAAAGTGTAGTTTATGTAATTTCATGGGTGTGTGCAATTTGAGGGCTTGACATATTTGATATCTATTCACTCTACGTGACCTTTTTTTATACTTTACAAAAATCGTACGTATTAAATTGTGTTCGCATTAAAATTCATTTTAGGAACTTTTTTTTCTGAAAATATGCTTTTTGTTTTGCAAATATTGTGTAACCTAAGAAATGCAACTGCCACTATTTATATGGCAGTTTAAGTAATTTCTAGCGAAAAATGCAGGTTTTTAACCTGCGTTTAAAAAAGAAAACAAAAAAAATTCAAAATTGAAAAAATAGTCTGTCTATAGTTTCATTTAGGATTAGTGCAGGTTACCATTCAAACAGATAAAATGCATGTTTTTGATGATTGTTATATAAGGCTACTTTTTTTTTTTTTTTTTTTTTTATATGTAGCTTTACAAGGGAAATTTTACACGTACCAAGTGCTGATTTCAACACTAGTTTTTATGTCTGCTTTTGTAGGAGTGGATTGGTTACATAGGTACTGTAGTCCCAGAGTACATTCAGCACCTGGTAATCCATTTTTTCAGTTTTAAGTCCCCTCCTTTTGGTTTCAGAAAACTTTTCACATCTATATATAGTTATTTCAGCCAGCTGTTTTTAGGAGCTAAATGCAAATACTAACTCGCCATGCAGATTGTCAGTGTTAGAACTTTGCTTGAACAGCTGTAACTATAGTTGACTTCATTGAATATAAAGGGATACTTGTGTTGCTTCTTCCAGGTCACTGTGTCAAGACAAGACCTAAGGATATAATAGGCACGAGACTTTTTATTTCCATGTTTATAAGGCCCTGTTCACATCTCTGTTTCCGCTGTCATGGATTTTTACTTGGATTTTTTTTAAGTGCTTGTTTTGTGCAATTAGTGGGTTTTACGTGGGTTTTTTTATGTATTGTACGTATATTTTTGTTAACCAATAAGGATATTTTTGTATACCTGTTTGATAGCATCAGGGAATGTTCTTCCAGTGAATGTAGTTGGAGGTATTAAAAGCAAACCTTTATTCTATTGCAACTTTTTTTATTTTTGCTATTTATTTTTCACCCGTTGATCCTGCCAGTATGTCTGTTGTTTTACAACCAAACTGTCCTGCAGATGTGGCAGTTACAGGGTTGCTTGCAATGATCAGCTTTTATTCATGTAAGGCCTTTCTCCAAAAAGAAAACAAATGTTGCTGTAACTGCTTATAATGTGTTAACTGGAGTTCAGCTTTAGTTTGTTAGTATATCTAAGTCTGCTACTCATTCTAACATTTTCTTAAAAGCAAACGCGAAGTGAACAGGACTGTAAGCTTACCATTTTCTTTAGTGACAGGTGCTTTGATTGTATTCAGAGCACTTTAAAAAAGTGTGTCAAATACCACATTTTAAAGCAAGTGTAAACGAGCCCTTAGTGTTTGTAAATCTACATTTAACTGCTTTCCAAAGGTGGCACTAACATAGGAGGTGTGTTACTGGCCAGATCACTAATGAAAACAGAATGAAAAAAGTATTTTAAAAACCTAAAACTAATGCAGTCACCACATCAAATTTATTTATTAGCTGTAATGTGTTACTTTTTTGGTTTAATACAGCTTTAAGGAAACATGGCTGATTTTTACACCACTGTTTTTGACTGTCGCAGCAACTGTTGCAGTCTGTTGTGACTTATCGCATAGTAGGTATCCAGGAAAGGTGCTTGAAACCGTGGGATGGTGAGCTGTCATGTGCCCACTCACAGCAAGTTGTCCCCTTTGCTTGTTAGCTCCGGTTTTGACTCAGATTATATATAGTGTGTGTGTGATATATATATTATTTTTTCCAAAAGATAAAAAATGTATTAATTGTTGCAGTTTTGGACCCATTGAATATAAAGGACCATTGACCGCATCATATATTGAGAAGTTTATTCGGCGAGTGATGAGTCCCGTTTTATATGTTTCGTCTGTGGTTAGACTAAGAGATTTCCTATCTACCTATGAGGTACTGTGCTTTTTACATTATTTCTCCTTGTCTGTGATTTACTATGTGAATGCAATTCATTCATTATTTACTTTATGTATCCAAAGAGAATGAACTGTAAGTGTAATATGCATTTTATTTCTGAGTGCACATTCTTTTAAAGTTAACCTGCCATTGGATATGTTTCAGGTTTAGATCATGCCTTGATCTGCTTTTTCTTCATTTGCTTTTTACTCCAGATGGCCCTTACTTTAGGCATTATCCAGTATCTGCATCGATTTCCTAGACAGGAGTGCTGGGTTGAAGATGGCACAGTCATGTATAGTTTGCTGCCTTTGCAGATCTTTGCTGTGTTTGTAGATGACCCAGACCAGCCGTGTACTAGAACCTCACGTCTTTCTGCTTGCTGCAAAATTAAAATGTTGCAGTGTGATCTCTGCAGAATAAAAATTACTCATTACCATTAGCTGTACTTTAAAATGTGAAGTGTGCATTGTCCAGGGGCAGTGCGTTACATTGTTACAATGCATCACACTGTTTGTTTTATTTGTTTTTTTTTTTTTTTTTTGGTGTCACAAAATGACTCATGCAGTGCATTGTGACGAGATGCAGTGTTGCATACATGCTGCATTTTTAAGCAGCACACACTGTACACGTGAACAGGGCACAGAAAACTGTTTACTACGTGCTCTTGCTTTGAGCCTGCCTTGATCTATGCTGATCAGTGCAGCTTATAGGAACTTTCCCTTTTTGGGTGGAGTTCTTTGGTGGTGTAACCAAGCCTAAAGAGAAACTCCATCCAAAATGGAAGGTTCCTCTTTAAGGCCTCCTCCCCCACTACTGTTTGATATTTGACAATTTTGTAGGGGGGATAGAGAGTGGGTACCATGTTTTGACAGGTACCAGATCTCACTTCTACTCTGATTACCTAGGCGATCCAAGCAGAGATTCTCCTTCTCCTCCCTCCCCACAGTCTTCTGGGACCTGTGACAGGTCCCAGGAGACTGTGGGACCATTCACAATCCGCAGCGTGGCGGTCCCTGGCACCCCCTCAGGTGAGCACATCGCTGGATCCCTGGACAAGTAAGTGTCTGTCTAATTATTAAAAGTCAGCAGGTTTTGTAGCTGCTGACTTTCTAAAGTTTCAGAAAACTGACTGGAGCTCCTCTTTAAGTACTGCCTGTAGCAGACTGTTGACATTATCTTAGCTAAGCCAAAGTCACTTGACTTGCACTTGCATTTTTTTAGTGATAAAATTATAATTTTTTTTCTTCAAAAAGTTAAGCTGTTGCTGTATATCTTGACAAGTCAGGTATTTATTAATTTTAAATCTAATTAAGGGCCTGCTTTAAAACTGAGAAATACAGAGGCGCATCCTGTACATTTGTATGAAAACAAAGTATAGGATGCTTTCTGCTGATGCTCAGATATTTTGTATACGTAAGAGCACCAATTCATTAACTGGTGGTATTAACCAGCAACTCAGTCAAATATCAAACCTATGACCATATAAGAAAAATGCAGTTTGATTCAAGTCAATACTATGACTGCGTTAATTACCAGATGTGACCCACTTTTTACCACACAGAGTTTGTAACCTTGTCATTGTCCGTCCAACTTCTGTCTTTGAGTTAAATGATGAAGGTAAAGGCGACCTAAGCTTTTGACACATGTGCTATGTTTAGAGTTTCTGATCCTGAGTCAAATAGTATACTATTTTAGCCTGTGGTCCTTGCAGTTAGAGCCTGTTCACTTCATAAATTTGTGGCAACACATGTTAAAGTGCGAAGCAGTGACATTTACTTTGAATGGCGCCCCTGTGTACCTGCCGACAAATGTGTGCTGTGGTACATTGTCAGCTGCAACACATGTCCGTTAGCAGGTGTTTTAGGATGTCACTCAAAATGAATGGCACCATGTTGAACCTGCATGCTTAAAGTATGGTCAAAGCTCTTTTAGCCATACTTCCTCTGTGGGTCACAGGAGTGCACTTAGTTCACAGAGCCAGTCTAGACTGTGCAGGGATCTCCGCAATAATGTTAGCACCTACCCACTTGTGCGACTAGCAGCTGGCTCAGCCTCTCAGCATGCCTCTGGGAAACTGAGCCAGCTGTTCCCTACTCCATCCACAGTCCAGCACTCCAGTGAGTGCTGGAGGGGCAGATTGCAGAGTGGTGACTGACAGTTGCCGTCTACTCAAAGCAGATCCGAGAAATCAGTAGTCTTTGATCACGCAGTTCTTGATGTTGAGGTGGGTGATCAACTTCCAAAAATTTGCTCTCCAACTCTTTTTGCCTTGAATTTTTTGCCTGATTCTAGATACAGCCCAAGCAAGTCTTCCTTCCAAAGAACAGTTTAGTCTCTGAGATTTCACATTCGAGTCATGAGATCAAAGAAATTCCCCTCTGTGAGATACTCCTTGAGAGTTCTGGGCCGCATGGCGGCCTCCCTTGGGGCTGTCCCATTTGCCCAATTTCATTCCAGACCTTTCCCACAAAACATTCTGTTGCCTTGGAACAAGCATGCTCCTTCTTTCAATCTACCCATGCTCCTGTCCAGCCAGGCCAGGAACATCCTAGCCTGGTGGATTTCCAACCTGGCCCTAATAATGGGTTAAGTTCTTTCTGTCACATCACTGGAAAGTGATAATGTGAGATGCCAGTTTTTTGGGTAGGGGAGGAGTGTTCAATCCCTTAAGGTCCAAGGAACATTGTCACCAGAGAAAGTCAAGCTCCCCATCAACATGCTGGAGCTCAGAGTGTTAAAGATGACTCATTACCTTTTGAACCCCCTTTCTCCAGGGACACCCAATTGAGGTGCAATCAAACAACTCCAGGGCTGTGATCTATGTCTGTGACTAAGGTGGTACCAGAAGTCATGCAGCCTTGAAGGAAGCAAACCAGATCATCTCATGGACAGGAAAACATTGTCCACGGATTTCTGTCCACATCCCAGGGGTGGACAATGGGAAGGTGGATTACCTGTGCTGTTACCGTCAGGTCAAATGACCATTCAACCTGCTTTAAACGTCCTCAGCCTGATGTCAGATGGATGCTGGACGTGGACATCTTGGCCTCCACATTCAGAAACTATTACCTCTGTAGCCAGGACCAAGGATCTTCTAGCCACTGGCATTGGATGCTCTGGTAATTCCCTGGACTCTCTTCAAGCTAATCTATGCCTTTTCACCAGTAAACATTCTGCTTCAACTGCACTGCAAAATAGAACAAGAGGAAAAAAAAACTGTGATTCCCCTTGCACCACGCTGGCCCAAAAGAACCTGGTAAAAAGACCTACTCCGATTGCTAGGAGATGACCCCCCCACCTCTTCCCAACAGGTCAGACCTGCTGTCTCAAGGACCTCTGTTTCATCTTGCTTCTCAGTCTGTAGCTTTAATGGCAGGTCTTAAAACACAGAGGAGTCTCTGAATCTGTCATCCCTACCTCACTAAATGCAAGAAAAGCCACTTCCAGAAAGGTCAACTGTTGTATCTGGAAAACCTTTTTGCCTTGAGTTAGCACAAGCACTTCAACCCCAGAAAATACTCCTGTGCCCCACATTCTGGCCTCCCTGCTATTGTGTTAACCAGAACATGGCTCTAAGCACTCGGAAAGGAAAGGTTTTGGCCTTTCTACTATGCTTCCTTGAGACTTTAATTTTGGATATCTCTGCTCTGCACAAACCACCCTTTGAACCCATCAGAGAAATCACTTTAGATAGATGATTTATACTAGTCTTTGTGGTTGCTATCGTGTCTTCACATCAGTCAGACTTGTCTGAGAGCTAGCAGCCCTCTTTTGTATGGATCTATTCCTTATCTTTCACATAGACCAGGTATCCTTATGCCCAAGGCCATCCTTCCTTCCTAAGGTGTTTATCAGTCTTTCACCTCAGTGAAGACATTGTATTTCCATCTTTATCCTAGACTTCTGCTCTTCTCTGCCTATATGTAGTCAGAGCATCATCAGAATCTACTTCAAAGCTACAGCTTCCTTCAAGAAAATGGACTCTGTATTCTTTCTAACCTCAGGACCTTGTCAGGGACATCCTGCTTAAAGGTCAGCTATCACTAGGTGAATAAGACCACTCTTCTTATACGCTTATAGTTTAAAAGGAAAAGCTCCTCCAGAACTCCACCAGATCATTGGGGGTTTCCTGGACATTTAGACATAAAGCATCTTTTGCCCAGTTTTGTAAGGCTGCCACGCTCTGTGGTGTTTATACCTTTTCAAAGTTCTACCAGCTGGGCATCCAGTGTTCTGTAGATGCAGGTTTTGGCTGCATGGTTGCTGTCTCCAGTACCTATTGTTATTGGGCCCAATGGCAGAGTTCTGTTTGCCTAGCTGTTGTCCACCCTTCTCATTCATTGTTTGGGGATGTCTTATGGTCTATACATATTAAGCCTGTATTGTAGGATTCAGATAAAAGGAACTTTGCCTGGCCTATAAATTCGATATCTTGGGAGTACAGGATGCAGGTTACCCTCCTATCTAATCCTACCGCCCTGTAATTCAAGGTCTATGAATACCCATTCCTTGTACTTTTTAAGATATGGAAATTAGAGTCAAGTGTTTTTTTTTTTTTTTGTTTTTTTTTTGTTTTGTTTTTTTAGTTGCCAATTGTGTGATACACAGTGAAAAATACACTATATTGCTAAAAGTATTGGGACGCCTGCCTTTACACGCACATGAACTTTATTGGTATCCCAGTCCATCTGTAAGGCTCAATATTGAGTTGGCCCACCCTTTGCATCTATAACAGCTTCAGTTCTTCTGGGAAGGCTATCCACAAGGTTTAGGAGTGTGTCTATGGGAATGTTTGACCATTCTTCCAGAAGTGCATTTGTGAGGTTAGGCACTGCTGTCAGACAAGAAGGCCTGGCTCACAGGTTTCTCTCTGATTCATCCCAAGGGTATTCTATAGGGTTAAGGTCAAGACTGTCAAGTTCCGCCAC